GTGATAGAAGTGACAGAAGTAATACGTGTACTAATCACAATGGCTAAAACAACACAACTATTTTTTGTAAGAATTCTTATCAGCCATAAATCAGTTTCTCGCGTTCTCCGTCACATTTACTGCCCCGAAAACTTCCAAAACAAAATTTTTGTGGACTTTTAGTTTTACTAACTAAGCTACTAAACGTGCCTTCCATACCTGGGCGGCGCGCCAGCGTTCCATGCAAGTCCTGCTGGTTGGCACTCGGCCAAGCTTCCACCAATGTATCCCATACCAGTTGGGAGGAAGTTATGTGTGGGAGCTGTTGGGAAGCCCAAATGTGGAGTTCCATAGGCTGCACCTTTGGTGTTGAAGTATGCAGCCGTCATATTTGCCACAGATGACATGTTGGCCGCAGCTGCAGACGACACGGACGGGATGTACGGCATGGACTGAAAAATGTAGTATAAGTTTTTATGAGGGTTTGATCTAATAAGGCACTATAGTATGATAAACAAGCCCCTATAACCAATAATTTTCAAAAAAATTTTACAGTGATGAGTGCCATAAAGCAACTCAAATCTGCTTCAAATCACAAGTGATTTTCAGATAATGTTATCAGTTGCTGACGAAACAGCTCAATCTGATTGTTTTCTGAGGTTTATACTTCTTATCACGGTTAATTTCTGTTGCACCTTAGCCGCTCATTTGTACAATGCAGAAAGTTCCGCAAAGATCATGGTTCTTAGCGCGTTACCTAAAGTAATCCCAGGTTAAGCCGATTTCTGGTGGGTTTACCCACATAGGTAGCTTTACCTGCTTATCCACGGGTAATACGTATTAGACTTTGCAACAATACGAGATTTTAATCAGTAGAAAAGCTGAGTATTGATTTGCCTTTGGGAGTAAGCGTTTTTGAGGACTAGTAGGAAATTTCAAAGCGAACTATTCGCCCAACGCTGGTGCTGCTACCGTAACCGAACCCGAACCGAACCAGAAGAAGAGCAAGGAAAAGAAGAAGTCCAAATGACTTCAAATCAACACCGTGCAGCTAAGAATATCTCTACAGAAACATCGCACTATCTCTATCGTGTTGTCTTTCTCTTCCCCATTTCTCTCTCAATGTGTGCGTATCTTCCAAGCAAACCGGAGACTTTTGCTTTGGAAAACCTAAAAAGTGAAGCAGCAGCAGCAGTGCTGCTGCTAGTTTACCTCAACGAACGGAAAACTTGCTGAGAATGTCGTCTTTGTGGTGTGCTAGGGAAAAAAACTGTAACGCACTAAGCCTCTGACGAGGAAAAAGAGGAAGAAGAGCAGCACCCGATAGATGTTGCTCGCATTTCATCGTGGAGTTACTGTAGTTCTAGTCAAAGG